GTTGGGTTGGGTTGTGTTGGGTTGGGTTGCATGGGTGGGGTTGGGTTAAGTTGTGTTGTGGGGGGGCTGAGAAGGATCAACCGTCCTAATTTTGCATCTGGGTGATTCAAAGTTGGTTTGGGTCCATCGATCTGAGGTCAAGTCTCCCGTGTTGTACCGTAGTTGACATAGGTAGTCATGAGCTGGAATGTGCAGGAAACTGAGCCAGCGGCACCAGCTTTGAGTGCAATTTACAGTAAATGCAGAACAGCAGAGCGTACGCGACGCTTGGGCTGGGATTTTCCACAGTGAGCTGGATGGTACTAAAGTTGTTGAACTGAGTGAACTTGATGTGATAAGCATGAGAGCGACTAGATAAGGGCGACCAGACTACATTTAGATCATTGTCACTGCAGCCCCAAGACAGTATATTCAAGGGTTACCTTTGAGGGCCGAATCGATGGCACACCTCCACTTCTGACAGTTGTCTTCATTGGTAGAACGCAGCGTGATCCGTTCCTCTGTCAGCACGTTGGGGTCCTTCTTGCTGGGCGTGGCCACGTAGATGATCACACCCTCCGGGTACCCGCGATTCTTGCCCGGTTTCTCCACCCTCTTGATGCCAACGGCGTACACATCATGCAGGGACACCGATGCGTGTATGCTCCGCCTACGCCCTGCGAGGGGGGGGGAGATCACCCGTCAGTTGGTTGGTTGAATGCTTTCATTATTGTATCCAACGACACAACAGCAGTCTATCAAATCTGTGTATCCGTCACACGCTGACAAGTGGCGTTTACTCGGTCAACAGTACTTGACAATGCAATATTATTAGTGACCATTAGAATAGTACACCTACAGGAACGCATGCAGCTCGGAAATACTGGGGCATAATATATCAATTTAAAATTGCTTTTACCCACATATCAAAAGTAATGTTCACCTCACATGAAAAGCTGATGTACGCCAACGTGAGTTTTTTCAGCACCATTTCTAACGGTATCTAATAATCCCATTTGTGTTTCTGTAAAAACCAGAAAAGCGCCCATTGTCGGTGTCTTTACAATGAAGAACTGTGCACCACCCATAAGCCGCATTAAGGTAATAGAGCTTGGTATAAGTATAAACCTTTTAGAGAGGACACTGTTGGGTATTATCATAATTCGTGGGCATACGTAAAGTCGTTTTCATTACTGGACAATGCAGACGAACCATCATTTTTCATATACGCCAATTGGATCTGCTTGATGTAAAGGCTTCATCATTAGCGAAATGTTTCCTGTCGTGTTGGAAGCTTTTCACCATATTGAAATGACGTCAGTGAATCACACATATAGCACGGTCCTTGAAAAGTTGGATATCATGAATTGTTTAATGACAGTGTTTGTAATATACGTTGCTGGTTGTCCATTTTCTCCCCGAGACAAAACAGAATTCATCATGAATGTATCTCTGTCTTGAATGTCAGATTTCCCTATAGTGTTTTTTTCTTTCGTGCAATGTATTGGAGAATTGCCGTGGCGTTTGTTGTCTGTAATAATATCATGATATGACCTTCAGTCAAGGATTCCATGAATGCGTTACCAGACATGACGTCATGCGGTTTTTTAAAATGATTACTCACAATCACATTTTACAATACTGCGGTTTGGGTTTTCTTACGGTTTCATGAACAATTAAGAGGGTTGGAAGGAGTAGCTAAATCCCACTTTAATTAATAATGCGGGTAAGATGGTGTTCTGTATAAAAAGCACGATATAGTAAAACCAACTCCATGAGTATACTCTGTTTCACCAGAGGATTTTGAAAACCATTATTCCACAGATAGTACCCCGCGGGAATATTCCACATTTTGAGGGAACCGATTTGTTTTGCCTTTTCTCATAAAATCAGTCAAGGAGAATCGTAAATATCAATCTGTGTGGTTTGACGGCAGGCTAGAATCTAGTGGAAAGATGAGCCGTGTGGCAGTTGCACGTAGGCGCCTTTTGTCAATTTGATCGCTACCGTAGATCAAAATTTGTTTCAACTCGGATCAATTCTGTCAGTGACTGTGTAAAAAGCTAGAGGTTGAAAGCAAAAGAGGCTCTTGGTAGCATTCGGTTAGTGTTATGATAAACTAAACCAAATCTCCATACCAGCTATTACATTCATTTCATGCGTCTGTGAGCGGCCCCCGTTTTTGCATTACGGTGCACTCTTTACGGAACTTAACGAGTGTTATGCGCACACCAACTGTCTCCCAACGGACACGTGAGCACACAAAAAGCTGGTAGCAACGGCAGGCTAATGAAACAATAATGGGAGGTCAACATTGGCAAAATCTATAAGCTAAACAAAGCGACAGAAGCATATGGCAAAAGGCCATGCGAGGACAGAATTCTTACATTCTCAGTTCGGTCCGTGAGTCATTTGGACCAACTCGTTTCATGTGCCGTCAAATGACATAAACGATTCACATTCGGTTTTAAAACGTGGGTCCAAAGGTCGACGGTCGGGCTATTGTTAATGACTTGTTGTCATGGAAACATTGCCAAATTGGCCGATTGAGATAAATCCGGGATTGGGTGACAGCTGTTTTCAGTACTGATAGAGGCATTTATTATTTGATAGGATATTTGTAATGATAGCTAGTTTATATCCGATGTGAATGGGACGGTACCATCTGCGATTGATATGTCTCATCTTTAGTTTCATTTTCGACATGCGTGACTTGTATTCATCTGAGTTACTCTCGGAGGGCAACCTCGGAGAGTACGTAGGCGCCATTTACGGCGTCAAAATATACCTAACAATGCCTTAATTATACCTGGCATGTATTCAAGTATTAATTTGCGAACTACAAAACAATTTGAATAGTATTTTCTCTCATAATTTTGTACTTTTAACAACTTCTGAAAGATATGACTGTCTCCGTGTGATGGATTCAAGTCAGAATACTCGCTCAAGCAAATATAGTCATCCGAATTCATGTACTCACTCAAGCCGACTCACTCAAGCCAATATAATCATCCAAGCCAATGAAGAGTCAAGGCAATATGCGTGCTATGGTCGTGGTCGACTTACCGCTTTGCATTGTCGGTAGGATGAGACTCCAACTGATTCGGTCCTTCTCCAGCACCACGTCGTAGTGTTTGCTCTTGATATCAAAGATGCCTCTGAGGGGAAGCGTTGGGGGAGTGGTCTCCTCCTCCGAGTTGGTCAGCTTGATATGAGCGCCTCTGAAGTCCACCGGGGCTGGAGACGCCACGGCTAGGTCGTCTGTCCACGCTGACTTGGCCATCGTTACCGAAAATCCGTTGTTTCTAACACCTTGATCTCACACTTCAAGATTTCAGAAGACGAATGCTTATCGCTAAGCTAGTTCTTAAGATGGGCCTTCGATACGTCGAGGCCTCTTGAATTAAGTTAACACAGAGATTTAATGATTTTCTTTTTTTTTTTCACAAAAAATGATATTCCTCTGTACATCCAGTGAAGTTTGTCCGTCAAGCTTCAATCTTTTTCGTCAGAGTGGATTCAGTGAAAATAACTTGACTAGTATGTCAATCCAGAGCTCCATGGCTCAAGCATAGAGCCATCAACCTGCCCAGGTATCAGATGTATCTTACACAATCAGATGTTAAGTTGCTAGCCAAGGATTCTCCGGCCATGGGTCTTCTTCATCGCGACACAAAGCCTCGTTCACGGCCGACAATTTGGCGTACACGGGCTGGGTTTATAAATTTACTGCGTAGAGCACACAAACATTTCGCATGGCGTCGCATCCACCGTTTTCATGAGCTCTGTGGCATTTCCAATTTTTCTGCAAACACAGTGATTCCAATCAAGAGTCAGTTTTTGAAATATCTAACGTGTAGCTGATGATTGACTTGTGCAAGATGAGGCTCGTAATTTTACCCGCGTTCTCGTTATGAAGTCCAGCGTGTACGAATACATGCAAAGCGTAATTCATTCTCGATTTCAACCGCCGCCTGTGAAGCTGTCCCTTTACTCTTCACATGCCATCTCCAAGCGATCATTGTCAGTGCAATTGAAATACCAGTCCTTGGCTCGCGCAGACTGTTTTAACTGTTAGGATAAAACCGATCAGGCGCACCACGTGCACGTCAGCACTAGCCTCTTACCAATGCCGTAACCTTGTCAGCTCGGGGGTAAATAAGTGGCGCGCGAGGGATAACACATCCGGGTTTGTAAAGCACAATATCGTCGGTTCCTCTGGTCATGGAGCTATTTCAAAAGAGAGGTTTAAATATTTAGCCATCGAGGCAATGTTTATCAAGGCGAAGGTCTTTAGAGGGGGAGAGAGCTGATAAGAAGGCATCCTTACGACTGCGTTAATCCTGCGAAGACACCTAGCAATTGAAGTTCCTCTTTGAATTTAAAGAAAAACAAATTATAGGGACGATGATACAGAATTCAGTTGCAAAGATCACACAGTCTTTAGACAGAATTGTTTGTGAGAAGAGATATGTTGTGGGATGTTATTTGGATTAAGGGTGCAAAGAGTGTGTGCAGTGAGAGGGTCTCCGGCTGAAGAACTATCATTACCGCTCTTTGCCGAAGACAGTTTCCTGGGAAAGGGAAACAGCCTCTTCGAATGTCACCTGTCTCTCGGGCTGTTCCCCTTGGGTGTATAGTTTGTAGTATTAAGTGCAGTCGCTCTGCTTCAGGTGTTCACCACGGGGCGGCAAATGGACGCTCTCAAACCTCGTGCGGACGTAAGACGTTTATCAACCGGTCCGGAATTAATGAAATGTCAGTGTCAGTCAGAGAGGGCGAGGACCTCCAGTGTCCAGGGAAGGATTTGGTTATCACTTCAAGGAGTTTATATTTCTGCCAGATTGAGCAGACTGGTTGACAGGCCGGTAACATAATTATCGGGTTTGTTTCTACAGTGTTATCATGAATAACTTAAGAGAGTAGCACGAAGAAAAACGAACAACGCCAAGACAAGCCAACCCAGTAGCCAAGCTGAAATGAGTAAATTGATCTCCATNGGTGATCAATGGTTACATGCACATAGAGTTACATGGAACCATGGAACCGGAAGTTAACGCGCAACCCTTGTGTTCGTGCAATGGGAGCCTGCAATCAGTGGTGCGTCCGCGTGTAAGACGAAGTCCCTTACGAACTGGATCCGGTTCGTAAGTGACTTCGTCACAAAGGCGGACGCGCCACGATTTGCAGGCTCTCATTGGACAATTGCTGACGTTGCGCGTTAACTTCCGGTTCCATGGTTCCATGTAAACGGTGATCAATGCATGTAACCCTATGTGCAGTGCAAGGTGTGCAGTGGGCGTGGTAAAGTGGAACAAGAGCTCGTCGGTAGGGCCCGGAAAGGGGGTGTACGGTATGTAGAACAAACACTAGCAGTAGATTAACAGTGGATAGTGCTTGGGGGACAGAACTAAAATCAAGGGGATAAGGGAGAACATTGCCAAGCTGCACAGTAATCGGGTTAATTGTTTGGAAAAGAATCTTCTGCTTAAGAACTTCAGCGTTCCCCTCAAAGACGTGCACCAGTCAAGGACGACATCTTCTCGGACGGCAGAGTAACGCAACCAGCCTCTTACACGGTTGATTTGGAGGCTAATTATTCTAATGGAAAGTGAGGGTCCTACATGCAGTTTTAATCAACTTGAAACACTGAAACAGTTCAGTGGAGCACCATCTCCCGTGGGATATGAAGCTGCAAGAGCGTTAGTGCATTCACATTGCAATCTGCTAATGTTTTCAGCCAAATTAATAGCTTGACGCCACAGTAAGCTACCTGACAGGTGTTCCGTGCACGCCAAACCTTACGGAGTAAAATGCGGTTGTCATTTCCTTCTACTTCCACACAGCCATTCCCATCTACGTTTTAAACCCCCGTGAGCAAGTTATACAAATTATAGCTACCTGGTAAAGGTTGCGTTGCTAGCAGTGGAATAAGCGATGACTTATTCATGGCAGTACAACTTACCGCTCAACCTGTTTGTCTGTTGGGACTGCTGGGGCACTTTTGGTATAAGATACTAATTCGCCGGCAGAAGAGGAGAGTACAGAGTGTGTCACAATATATTTGTGTTTATACTATGTGTAGGCGTGGCATACATAGTGTGGACCTCTGCTCAAAAGAAGTCTACATAATGTAGGGTGCGATGGTGTAGTGTGAACTCGCATGTGTCCACACAATGTTTCCCCCTCTCTGAAAAACAGCTTCAGAGGCATTTTGGGGTCAAAGTGGCAAAATGAAGAGGAACAGTCCAGGGAATCACCATCAAAAATCCAGCTCGAAGGAATTATCCTAGTAGGAGAAAAAGGAGCATTTTCCTCAAGGTTCCTTAACCACAGGAGAACAAAGGAATGTCCACACTTTGAATGTAAAACAGGTAGGGGTGGGTGTTTGTGCGTGCAGATTGTGTGCACTCGACCTCACAATGACCCACCCGCCATATTTTGATATCAGGCCATATCCAGATCAAGTGTCTTGTGATTCAGCTTCGGATTTTGCCAGTTAGGAGCCACAGTATTGTCACAGCCACAGAGAGTTTGGACTCACAGCCCTGTCTCCATTACTAGTGTTCTGAGACATGTCTCTGCGACTGAACACTGTCCAAGCACGGGCCTGGGCTTTCAAACAGTAAAACGACCAGTGGCGAGTCGACCACTGCTTTGTGTGCTCGTATGGTAGAGGCCTGGAAACCTCTCGTGTGGTGATTATTCGCTTGTTGTAAGCACGCACATTCAGAAAGTCATCACGAAAAATGTGAGATAGGGATCGGGCCGAACGTGTGAGAACACGTGGGAGGATTTCTCGTGCGGAGGCGTCTCTAGGAGGAGGGAAGGGGATAAACTACTTCGTGTGTGCTGTCGTTGCCATGGTGTCACATCATCCAAATGATACACTCAAAGGGCGCATAGGGTTTCCTTATAAACGTGGCCAGCTAGCTCCTCCTGTGTCTCGAAACAATTATGAGGGTAAGGTGCGTGCTTTGGTACAATGACAAGGGACAATACAAAGTGCAAGGACAAATTGAATCCTTGTGGCTGAGAGGTTTGATCTAAGGCATATCACGTATAAATTTTGCGTATGTCTACGCAGACGTAGGCTACCCAAAGTAAATCGATTTTTGACGCGAGATGAGTTCGTCAAACTACCGACCTTTAGGTGCGTGACTGCAAAGACCGTAGACTCACCAAACCTATCGACATTTTGATGCGAGATGGCACAGACGCAAAGGTAGCATCAAACCTACGTCAAAGCTTTCAGGTTCCAAAGGTGACATTTTGCCACAAAATATCGTGAATGAAAAGGAAGAGTGTATTGACAATCTCTGATTTGATGAGGGGTTTTACTCATCTAGAAGAACATCTTCTCACCCTTATTTGTACCTGAGAGCTACAAACCCTGTTTGTACTCAAACACGTGCGCACGTTTTTACGCAATTTCGTCCAAATAAAGGCGCCTTTCCATTATGCGCGTCAGCCCTTGCGTCAGCCCTTGCGTCAGCCCTTGCGTCAGCCCTTGCGTCAGCCCTTGCGTCAGCCCTTGCGTCAGACGTTGCGTATAATTCTGTCAAAATCACTTTCTCGGGGCAATTTTGACGGCCAAAAGCAACGCTCACATGTGCCTTGTTAAAGGAGTCGAATTTTGTGTCCGTGAAAGTGAAACGCATGAACATATCGTGTTAGCAACGCATCCCCAAATCGTACATATGGAAAAGCGCCTTAAGCCTGATAAGAAAAATCTAATTTCGTTTTCAAAGAGCTGCCACTTCCACCTTAATTAGACCTAGCAAGGTGGCGTGCCTGTTGGGTGCCCTGAGGCATTGGTTGTGGTTCGTGTCTGCCCATCAAATTTGAGCCCTGACTTGGCAATGCCTGGTAACGCATGGGATTTAGGAATAAGGCGGCCAGTAGCTCGCTCGTAATAAACCTCCTTGGCAAACAAAGGCCCTCGGCTTAAAATAATTCTGGGAAGTTCTGTGAGTTCTAGAGAATATTACAAAATGCTTAAGGTGCCTAGGATTTTCGTTTTAGGTATGATTGATTAACAAAAGCATGGGGAGCAGTCTTCACCGCGAAGAATTTTGTTCACACTAAAGTGTCAAGATCTTTTCCTCAGCTTAGTCGAGTGCTCTCGGATACATTTTTACATTTGCCATTTCCAGCTGCTGATGGGTCCATTTGAAACGCCTTGTGTGGTTCTTGACGTCTGATGTCCGTACTGATGTCCCAGCATCAGTACGGAGCGCTTTACTAAGTGTTCGGTTGAACTTTGAAGTGAAAATGTCGACTTCATCAAATTCAGCAGGCGGCGTCAACACTTTAAAAATCCCATACCAACAGACGACTGTTTATGGATACGGGAGGAGTACAAAGTTGGCGCGCTATACTAGATGGACTTTGATTTCAGATACAAGAGCGGGACAGGAAACCTGTGCAATAAATCATGATTCGGTTGAGTCACTTGTGTTCGGTTCGGTTGCCGACGGATAATGAGGTTGGGCTGAAATCAAAGACGTATACACAATCTCTCGTGTTCTGACTACAGCGACAAAAAAATCAACTAATGTTCCCATCTTGGTGGAGACCGCGGAATGTTAAATTTTAGAAATTGCCGGAAAATTCAAACGTGTTTTGAGACTGGGCTGGAAAAAGGTCCTTAACATGTAGGATCCGTGTCGCTTGGTTGGAATGATAACGCCAAAGACTGTCTTAAGTGCCGTTTTTGCGTATTTGAATTGTGTACGTCAGACAAAAGAGGGGATAGTCTAATGGATTTTTTTCTATTTCTCGCGCCAAAAAACATTAATGCTTGCACGCAATACCCGACTTTGAACAGAGTATTTGTAGGCACTCTTGGCGTGACACTACAGAAAATAACCTTGCGAAAGCTTGAAAACGAACCCCCCCAAAATTAACCCCAGATTTTTCCTATTGTCTGAGGCTTCGTGCATGGGCATAGACTAAAAAATGTTGCAGTGCCTATCTCTATTAAGTCGGCATACTAGGAATCGAGACATTGCTTGAAAATTGGAAGGGAAAATAAACAGTGTAGACCGTGCAACCTCAGACGACAGATGGATGGTGTGGATGCTCTCAGTCCACATAATCACAATTCCTGCAAGCCCCAATCCACCATGTGATTGCAGCTCAAACACGCGCCAACCGGTGAAGTCCAAATGGTGCATTATACTGTTTACTCTTTCGGCGGGGGGTCTTTTCTACCTAGATGACGGAGAGCCGCAGAGGCAAGAGGCGTTTGTTCGTGAATCATACGGTTTAATGGGAGACCATCAAGTACCGATAATTTAAGGACTTTGTGCCGTCTGTCCCCGCTTTCCCGGCGCGACTGAGCTGGCTAATTATTTGCGCGATGTTGAGTGCACCGTTTGGGAGATTTATTGTGTCATGATCGCCACTCTGGAATTGGATTTGCTATTGGAACTCTGCTGAAGAGGATCCCGTTGAGAAGGATAGAGGGTCCGCTGATCATTAAAAGTAGTTGCCAACTTTTTTCATTACTGCAGATAATGAAATCCATATATTTGCAGCAAAATTTATATAACTGGGCACAACAAATTGCCTTGTATAGTCGATTTCGTATTCGAAGAGTACCTTGGGTGTTTCGGTATATTTTTACTTTCTAACAAGAAGCGAACATTTACAAAGAGGGTTCCACCAAAACATTGACTCACTTCCATCTTTATGTTGGCCCAATCCTTCTACGAGGCGGCCCACCTCTGTCTACTCTCGGCCGCTTCATCGACGCGGTGGCCCACCTCCGTCTAATGTCGTCCGCTCTTCCTGATCAGGAAGAGCGGCCCGGGAATTGGAAGGAATTCCCAAGATTGCCCAGCACTGAAGAATACCCAACAGAGAGAGGTGTGTCCCCCTAACCACATAGGCCCATCGGGCATCATAAGGATAGGTCAAAGACTTTGTTGTTTGGGTATTAATCTCACATAGCTACAACTTTGATTCTTTGGCCTTTGAGACTATTGTCTGCCGTACAGCGGCATAACTAGGATTTTACTGGTAGGGGCACCAGCATCTTATGGGGGGCACCAGCTTTCAGTCGTGTAGGGTTTTTGGGGGGGTCGACGTCGTTAGCCTTGTTCAATATCCATTCATCCGGGTTTTTTTTTTTTTTTTTTAGTGGGGGCCCCAGGAATTTCTGGGGGAACGTGCTCTCCCCCCCCCGGCTACGCCACTGCTGCCCAACAAATCCTGGATATGTACGCCACTTCCCTCAACCTGTGTTGTCAACACGCGCAAGGTTGTATAGCGCCACCAAGCCTAGTTGCGTGCAGTTAATCTAATCCTGTCTGTAGAGGGCGTTAAATTATTTTTTTTTTACCTGTTCCACGTTAAGTCGTCTCAAATTACGTTTATTGAAGAGTTGATTTGCTTACGTGTTCAAGTTCAGCATTTCTTTGGAATGTTGTGTTTGAATCACAAATGAAGGTATGTAGTCATTCCTACAGTTGTATAAAAATAAAAGATTATTGGGAATTGCGGCAGTTTTAAACAACTTGAGAATTTTCCACCTGTCACATCAGACTAGGCCCTGGTACATGGTGCTTGCCTGGCATGGTCAGCTCCATGGGTTAATCTAGCCCCCCTAGTGTGGCACTGATCACTCCCGATTTATCCTAAGGATAAATCGGGAGTGATCCGTGCCACACTAGTGGGGCTAGGGTCAATCATACTTGCTCCCGTCACACCGCTCTGGAATTTCAGACGTGAAACTGAAAGACATATGGCAGAATTGCAGTAAAACACAAACATGTCTCTGTTGGCCTTGCACTAAAACAGTCAACAACCCTGGTCAATCAAACATGTAGGACTTCCTCGGATATTTAAGAAATGCAAAGGCCCAGGTCTGTTTGTTTTGTTATGTTTGTGAAAAAGACAAAGAAACAGTGTGGTAGTCATGGTAGATTGGTGGGATGTGTGTGGGGAGTGGCCTGCTGCCCTACCTGCAGAGGCTGCTGCACCACCTGCACAGGCTGCTGCACCACCGTCTTTTCCTTGCCCCATGGTTGGACTTAGGAGAAATCTTTCCAGATATGCCAGGTATTTCTTTTGACAAACCATGCAAAGTTTAGTCGAAAAGAATGCCTCGTTAAGACGCCACTTGACACCCTGTGTACAAACCCCATGAGAGTGGTCTGAAAATCCAGTATTTTCTAAGTGAATACTTCAATATCTTCCCTGTTAAATTCAAACTTCTTAGGATAGGATTTTGCTTTCAGATGGCTAAAAGGTAACTAAAAGGAAAAATTAGTGCCATCCATATATGAAATTCTTTCTCGGTGCTCTTGTATATTTGTTTTAGGATTTCTATCCATCTGCAGATTTATTTCCTTGGAAATAACAAGACAATGGCTTCATGTGAAATGTAACATGCATTTCTTATAATTCCACCTGGAGAGACGCAGCATGACCCTGCTGGTCATCTTGTAATGTGGTAGGCCTACCATCCATCCAGTCTGTCTAACTGAATCAGTGTAACAGTCAGTGGATGTGACGATGGTCCTAGAGGCAAAGGATGCTATGTCCGTCGTGGCAACATTATCGACTATTGCACTCCTCCTAACAGGAATGTGAGTATATTGACCAGTCAATATGGTCATTAGACTTTACTGTTAGCCCAGGCATGTCAGGGAAATAGCCCATAATTACCCTGGTATTTACATCTGCTGTTCCTTTTAGATTGATTTCAATTATTGAGCACAAGTGCACATTATACACGTAGGAGTTAATGTACATACATTTATTTATCTAGGGTTTTTTAAATAGTTTTAATTTAACAAGACTTTTGAAAGAAGGTTGTCTTAGGAAAATTAGAATTAAAAGTTTTATGAAAAATTGTGCCTGACCAAGATATATGTTGTTGACTTTACCGGTGAACAGTTACTGCAGGTAAACCTAACATGCTGCAGTCAGGTGCCACCTGTAAGCCAACGTTTAATGTACATGTATGTTTTGCTACTTGCCAACATTTGCATTAATTCCTTTTGAGAATTCTACATAAGCATTAATATTGTTTACAAACTGTTATTGTTTTCTCTCTCTTGTAGACAAATTTGCATGAAGATCAGAAGGCAAGGGAATACCACTAATGTTTCCATCTTTCCATTTCTGGCTTCTGACATCAGGTAAAAAGAAATATAGGCAATCTCCTGGTTGCCTAATTGCTGAACTTGTTCTCAGTAATCAGCCGCGACCCAATCACCCCAATAAATTCGTTAATTTATTCCTAAAGCCATTTTAAAAATAATCTGAAGTAATGGTGTGGGAGTTTTCTGACATTAGAACACTTATAGTATCACTTATTGATTTGGCAGATTTCTTAGTAATCGGTCTTTTTTTTGAATACCTTGTTAGATTTAGAATTTATCAGTTTATTGTTTCCTCCCTTGTTGGATTTATTGATGTGTGATACATTGTTTCATTTCTTGTTTGGTCTGTTGTTTGATTGATTGTTTATATGATCAAGCAATTACATAAATTGTGTTCGTTTGGTGTCATATTTTTTGTAGCATATCAGGTATGCATTTGTAGTTTGAATCAGTAATTTGGAATCAGTCATTTTACTTTTTGAGCAAATAAACTTCTTTTGCATGACATTGTAAGCTTCATGTTTGTTGATTGATAAACGAGTCTTGAACCTTGAATCCTATACACATTTACCAATGCCTTTGTGATGTCTTGACGATGATTACAACACTATTTGTTTATCTTATGTTGAAGTTGTGTTATATGGTTGAAGTACGGAATTCTCAAGGAAGACACAGCACTGATTATCGTCAATGCAGCCGGAGTCATTCTTCAATCCATTTACATCCTCATCTTCTACATCCACGACTTTGAGAAGGTAGCTCTGAGTTACTCTTGGCAATAACCATGCTATAGCTCACTATGATGGATCTTGCTGATCTGACCTGGGAAGAGTAGAGCTTGCTCAGTTTTTCCCCGGTTTGTTCTCATCTGCAGACTTGGCAAGCATGAAGCCTGCTGTTCTACTTAAATCAGTTGCCTTAAGGACTTGAAAGAGTTTGAAGTCAGGCAGCATTTCCTCCACCTGTTCAGTGCAGAGTTATTTCTATCTTTGAATGAACTCCAGCTCTTATTTTGGAACTTACCTAAGTATTTCCAAATCTACAACAGTAACAGTTTAGTTTAATACTTAAAGCAGGTGTGCAATGTTTCCTTGGATCAGCGGAATTCCTAGTTTTTCATTTTACATTCATGCCACTGATAATTGATAAACACTAAGCAAAGTCTTGTAAAGAAAGTAATTTCCTTGTTTTTTGGTCAAAGTCCCAGCATGCCTGTTAAAGTAGACTTCAAACAGTGAAGTGAATTCAGCTGCATATACTTTTTGTTTTTTTATTAGATTTTACCATCAGCTTTCACTTTTTGAATCCTTGAACAGGTTGCAGTCCACAGAAAGCTGTCGTTTGCCGGTCTTTTTATTTTCCCAGTCCTTATCTACATCAAGTTCTTCGTGGATGACATCGGCACAGCTCTGGGCCATCTAGGTCTCATTGGTTGCTGCTGCTCAGTGGTCATGTATGGTTCCCCTCTGAGCACACTGGTGAGTCATCACTGCTACTTAACCCTAACTAGCCTCAATCCTTCAAAATCCTTGTGTTGGAGGATTTTGGAGGATTGAGGCTGCATGGCAAAATTGCATTGCTGATTGCGAAGGATGCATTGTCTCAAGGTTGTAGGTTAGACCTTGTGGTGTTTATGTTCAGCCATGCATAAATTCATGCCCACATTATATGTGACACTCTCCATACTGCTCCAGGGTACCATTCACACTGCCTCAACATCATGAGAGGAATTGCCTGAGGATGTTGGGGATTGAGGCATATTCAAGACATATCAGAGGATTTGGGAGGACTGAGGCTGTATCCAATTTTTTTCATGGGGGCTGTTCAAGGATTTTGAAGGATCCTAGGTAAAAGGCGGTTAGGGTTAATGCAGGGATGGGTGATCCCTTTGCTTGGATCTAACCTTCCTCGTAAGTGTGTGCTGTCAATCTAAAGCTGGAAGTATGTTTATTTAAAAAAACACACAAAATGCATTATAGGCCTTTAAAGCAGTTTGAATGTCAGAGACAAAGCCTTGGACTGAGACAAAGCCGATATTCAGAAAACTTTGTTGGTACTAAAATTAGATATCAAATCACACGGCAGAAACTTTCCACCACTGGACCAACTCCTGTTATATGTTTCATATCTAATCTTTATTCATGAGAGTTGTTGATTTGTCATGAATTATTCATGGCCTAAGTAAATGGCGTATATCCAACCTGACATGCTTGAATTGATTCAAGAGTTTCACACATTATTTACTCAGAGAGTTGTAAAGAGCTTATGTTCAGAAGTGTTTCACAATTTGAGCTGAATCCAACTGAATTTCCCATTTGTCATCCTTAGTGAATCGGAGACTGTGAAGATTTGTTGTGAGGTATCCCCCCCCAGGAAACTTGTGTCCGCTTGAGACGTTCCATTCTCTTACCCAGTGGACATGCAGCTCAAACCTTGACTGTGCAAAACACAGAACTCAAGAATTCAAAACATCGACTTAACATATATCTGCTCTTCCTTTTCTTGAAATTTGGCAGGGAAACTTACTTGAGTTTGGGAAACTGCATTCTTGTTTCTTGAGTCTCTCTGTTTCTCTTGGTTTCAGGCGGACGTGATTCGGACCCAGAGCACAGCTTCCATGGCCTTCCCATTAAGCCTTGCCAACTTCCTGGTCGCGCTGGAGTGGGCAGTCTATGGTCACATCATCACGGACAACTTCGTTAAGGTGAGTTTACCCCAAACTGGGGTCTCCTCAGGACCCTGTTTGGTTTGTGCCAACAAATGTTCCTGTATTCAACAGTAATAAAGTTGACCCTCCTGAAGAGGAAATTTGAAGTTTGTCACGGTGAGGGTAGCAGGTGAAGTAGTGACACCAAGTAAATCAGGAATATGTGTGGGTCTGAGAAGAACCATAGGGTACTCAACGTTTCAGACGGTATTCTCTGTCCGTCGTCAGGAGACTGCAGGGATTTGATTGGTGAAGTAGGCTTTATGGGGTTGCATACGTAACATTCTAAGTATTCATCTCGTTACCTTTCCTTGGAAAGGTCTTAGTGAAGAACAATCCGCAACACTGCAGTGGGAATTTACTGGCACAAGGGGATAAGAAGACAAACTTATTTGATATATCCTGCATCCGCTCCGAGCGGGAACACAGAGAGGGCGTGTTTATACGTGGAAATGATAGTCATTTGGTTGGAACTCACCATCTGCATGTGCAGGTTTATGCGTGTTTGGCTATGGACTCCCTAAACATGATGCACGACCAAGTTTATTTGAATGCACGGGTCTTCGCATCGTGCGCCAGGCGTTTGCATGAGCTCAGTTAAAAAACGTCCCTCCCTCTATCAGTGAGGGTGCACTGCTCTGAACATCAACCCAGGACTTAAAATCCTGACGTATTTGCCAATCTGATGTCACACTTTTGTACCTCTTTGGTTTGGAGAGATTAATTTCTTGCCACTGGTTTCCTGCTCCTCAGATACCAAACATCATCGGTGCCCTGCTTGGGTTCTTCCAAGTCATGTTGTTCTATTGCTATTCAGGGTCACCAAGTACGGGGAACCAGCCAGTGGGACAGGTCAGGAATGTATGAGAACGGAGCCACACAAATCACCGGTAACCATAGTAATTTATCCACCACATACCACCTATTGGCCGTACACGTTTGACGATTCCCTCTGTGACGGTCTCACATTTTGTTGCAGGGAAATATGTGGTGCTGAAGATTTGAACCCACTTACACATAGGTATATTTATATCCATTGTATGATAGATTTCATATTTTGAGTTACGCACGCACACAGATGTCATTCCGACTCAAGAAAAAGATTATAATAAATGCTGTTGAGTGAATGTGGACCAGAGGACCTTAAACTACTGCTACTCCAACTTTATTTTCTAGTTCTATCTGTCTTCATTTCAAATTCCAAAACACCTATATTTCCTGGGACCCAATTGTTCGAAGATGTTTTGTTTATTCTCTTACTATCTTGTTTATAGATCACATTTTTTTCATGTTCTCTCTTGTATTATAACTTTCATTTTTAAACTGAAATTCCATCGGTCAAGAAGTCTGTAAAACATTGACACAAACTGTATTGTTACAATATGACATGAATGATCGTAAACCGTATGTCTGTCAAAGCATGGCAAAAATGCTTGGATTGTCAACACGGTGTGGAGAAGCATAACAGAATAGGGTGGTATTTGTAGTCTACTGAAGAATAGAGTGTCAGATCAAAGGTCACAGGTCAAAGGTCAGGAGGGGCACTGGAACTCGGCCACAAACTCATGGCCTATGTGTGGGTATTGCTGCTGTATGATGGTGCTTTCATTTGTTCATGCCTTGAGATGAAACAGTAACTTCTGATATGAAGCCTTTGAAATTTGGAGCAGAGTAGGAACGAGGAGCTTGAGCAATCAATGCATTCATAAGGAAATTTATTACACACCTGTGTCAGTATTTGGTCAAGTTTTTGCTGGTATGCTTAGTGGTCTGTCTGACAACCTTAATTCTTAAAGGGTCGAAAATTACCCGGTGTCTGAACAGATTGATGCAAAACTATTTGGCTGTCTGTTGTCAAAGAATTAATTTACTCCTTCTCAGGTGTTGATGGATGTAAAGAGAAATAGAAAAGCTACATTGTCACACGTGCACATTATGAAACGCTCGGAACACTCTGAAAGTCAATTTCTAGGGTACAGGTGAATCAATTAGTTCTATACGTAACTTTCAATTTTAGCTTCAAATCCAGCCTTTACGGTATTGACTTTTTGCTATGTCTACATGATGTATGGTGTCTGCGGCTTCAGCCAACATTGCCTCAGGGTTGTTTCATCGTGTAGAGTATTGGGCATGGAATCTGGTATTTCAACGCTGTTACTTTTGACTGTTTGTATTGGCATTTGTTTGGTTAAATGTGTTCATGGCCTCTGCTTTTGGAAGCCTGTTTGTCAAGTTGGTCTACTCTTGTGTTTTAATCGATTACTAATCCCCATAGGGGCGTTAATACCCAGATGTGAATAACTTGTAGCTCACAGAGCAGTACTTTCTAAGGCTACTGTCTGGACTTGAAATCAAGGCCATGCTCTGGCCAAATTTTGTATGCAGATGAAGCCATGGCAACTGGCTTAGCACAACTTGTTCCTTACTTTCGATTGATAATGGGGCCAACATTTTGATGTCATTTCAAGTTTTATCTGTCATTTGTTTACTGAGATAAAGCTAGTGTTCAGACTCCACTTTTCATTTCGTCATTTAAACAACCTCGTAAGGGGAAAAAAAACAAAAATTAGACAGGACATTTCGCCAGCAGCTTGTGCTTCTGTATCTGAACAAGTTTGATAAAAAGACATTTTAAGGATTTAAGAAATAGGAATCCATTTAGGAGAGTGGGACTACTTCACTATCATTTCCTAGAATTAATTACAATGTGTATTTTAATCATGTTAATATTACAAAATTTTTAAATGTAAAATCTACTCGCCCAACTATTTAACAGTGTCACTGATTTCCAGAGTTGGAGAATCTGTAAGTAAACAGACCTATGTACTGATGACGTCACTCTTGGTTGTCACATACATTTTTCCTGTGGAGCCAGTTGGGGTCAAGGGTCGACGAACCATACACAAACAAAGCGCGGCATGATCAGTACAGAGGTAAATGTATATTCAACCGCCTGTCTAAGGACCAAGATTTCAAACGAAAAATTGAAATGAATCATTGCTGTGCTTGAAGCCACAATGTGCATCCACTGTACTTGCCCTCCTCTTTTTCTGGCGACATTTACAATTTTTGTTGTCTGTGAAGTGGAAACATTTCTGTACATACTTCTTGTCGGTGACTTTGATGAGCGGCCCTTTCTGTACGGTCGACATATCGGTAACTGTTTTTCTCAGAGGATAGATTTTACTCTGTATTATCCCACTGCACGTGTAAGTTGTCCTCAACCCAACCGTACAATCTGCATCTGTGAATTTGTCGTTGCATTAGTTATCAATGTTCAGATTCTGTTTCACAGGGTCATTACTTGTTTTAAAAGCTGACTTGCAAATGTACAATGAGCTGCTTGGTTTTAAAAGTGCATTGAACTTAGGGGGGAGGGTTACTTGTTTGTGTCCTTCACGATTCTGTTTCATTAGTCAAATAATTTTTGGACTGTGTGTTTATTATATCGCCATAAGCTGATGATAAATATTAGTCACCTTTCCTTCAGAAATGTGGTTCTCCAATCATTTTTTTCCCTTTCATTTCCAGTGTTTAAGGACGGTTTATATGAGTTTTTTGTGCTTGTTTTTGGATAGTTTGGTAATGTTACAGAGGGGAAGGCATGTTTTAACCCTAACCCCCTAAGGTGTAAGTAAAATCGTATTGAAATTGCAGGATTTGAGACTATTGGGGTTAAATAATAAAACACATTCTGCCCAAAGAAATTATACTGGTTGGCTAAGATTGAAGTCCCTTTGCAGTTATTGGGGGTTTTTTAAATGACAATTTTAAGGTTTAAGCCAAGAATGAAATTGTGGCCTATATCTTATGAAGATACCAGGCTAGCCCCTTTCATAATTTTGGCTGAAACTTTCAAGTTGAGATTTCAGAAAAGTTAAAGTTTTCTCCATTTGTAATTTTAATTCAATGCTAACCCCTATCAGTTTTATTGAATTTTGGCAGAAAATTTGAAAATTGAGATATGGGGAAATTCTGAATTTTGGCCCATTTTTATTTAAAATACAAGGCTAGCCCCTTGCTTTTTTTATTTAGTTTTTTCCGAAAATGACAAAATTGAAATTTGCTAAAAAGTTGAATTTTGGGCCAGTTTAAATTGAAATACAAGGCTAACCCCTTGCTTTTTAATTTAATTTTGGCCGAAAATGACAGAATTGATATTTGTGGAAATTGTTTATTTTTGCCAGTTTCTAATTCAAGTCTTACCCCTTGCCGTTTTATAAAATTTTGGCTGAAAATGTGAAATTTCGGAATCAAAAAGAAAATTTGAATTTTTGGCCCAAGTTTAATAAAAACAAAAAACAAACCTAACCCCGTGCCGTTTTATTTTATTTTGGCCGAGAAATGACAAAATTGAGATGCGCTAATAATTTGAATTTTGACCCATTTTTTTTTTGCTTTTTTATTTAATTTTTGCCGAAAAGGAAAAAATTGGTATTAGTGAAATTTTTTTATTTTTTCCAGTGTCTAATTGAAATGCAAGGCTAACCCCTTCCTTTATTTAATTATGGCCGAAAATGACAAAATTCAGATTTCCTAAATATTTGAATATAGGGCCCGTTTTTAATTAAATGCACAAGGCTAACCCCTTGCTTTATTATTTAATTTTGGTCAAAAATGAAAAAATTGATATCAGTGAATTTTTTTTTATTTTTGCCAGTTTCTAATTGAAATACAAGGCTAACCCCTTCCTTTTTTATTTAATTTTGGCCAAAAATGACAAAATTCTGATTTCCTAAAAATTTGCATTCGGGCCCGTTTTTGATTAAATACAAGGCCAACCCCCCTTTTTCTATTTAATTTTGGCCGAAAATGAAAAACTTTATATTAGTGGAAATTTTTTTATTTTTGCCAGTTTCTAATTCAAACACAAGGCTAACCCCTTGCTTTTTCATTTAATTTTGGCCGAAAATTTCAAAGTTGAGATTTCCTAAATATTTGAATTTCGGCCCGATTTGATTAAATATACAAGGCTAACCCCTTGCTTTTTAATTTAATTTTGACCAAAATGACAAAATTGATATTAGTGGAATTTTTTTATTTTGTCAGTTTCTAATTAAAATGCAAGGCTAACCCCTTGCTTTTTTATTTAATTTTGGCCGAAAATTTCAAAGTTGAGATTTCCTAAATATTTGAATTAGGGCCCATTTTTAATGAAATGCACAAGGCTAACCCCTTGCTTTATTATTTAATTTTGGCCAAAAATGAAAAAATTGATATTAGTGAATTTTTTTTATTTTTGCCAGTTTCTAATTGAAATGCAAGGCTAACCCCTTCCTTTTTTATTTAATTTTGGCCGAAAATGACAAAATTCTGATTTCCTAAAAATTTGAATTCGGGCCCGTTTTTGATTAAATACAAGGCCAACCCCCCTTTTTCTATTTAATTTTGGCCAAAAATGAAAAACTTCATATTAGTGGAAATTTTTTTATTTTTGCCAGTTTCTAATTGAAATACAAGGCTAACCCCTTACTTTTTCAATTAATTTTGGCCGAAAATTGCAAAGTTGAGATTTCCTAAATATTTGAATTTCGGCCCGATTTGATTAAATACACAAGGCTAACCCCTTGCTTTTTAAGTTAATTTTGACCAAAAAATGACAAATTTGATATTAGTGGAATTTTGTTACTTTGTCAGATTCTAATTAAAATGCAAGGCTAACCCCTTGCAGTTTTATTAAATTTTGGCCAAAAATTTGAAATTTCAGATTCAAAAGAAAATTTGAATTTTGTCCCAAGTTTGATTTAAAAAAATGCTAACCCCTTGCCGTTTAATTTTATTGAGGCCAAAAAATAACATAATTGAGATTTCCTAAAAATTTAAAATTTGCATTTTTAATTAATTTTTGCAGAAAATTTGAAAATTGGGGAAATTTGAATTTAAGCCCATTCTTATTTTAAAAACATGGCTAATCCCTTGCTTTTGCCTCGCTTTTATTTAACTTTGGCTGACAATTGCTAAGTTGAGATATCCTGAATATTCGAATTTGGGCCCGTTTTTAATTAAATATACAAGGCTAACCCCTTGCTTTATTTAATTTTGGCCGAAAATGAAAAAATTGATATTAGTGGAAATTTTTATTTTTGCCAGTTTCTAATTGAAATACAAGGCTAACCCCTTGCTTTTTAATTTAATTTTGGCAGAAAATGAGATTGATTTGCTAAAAATTTGAATTTGCACCCGTTTTTAATTAGAATACAAGGCTAACACTTGCCTTGTATTGTAGTTTTATTAACTTTTGGCTGAAAATTTGAAATTTCGGATTCAAAGGAAGATTTGAATTATGGCCCACGTTTAATAAAATAAAAGCTAACCGCTTGCCGTTTTATCTAATTTAACCGAAAATGACAAGATTGTGATTTTTTTTATTTGAATTTTGACCCATTTTTATTTATACAAGGCTAACCCCTTGCAGTTTCATTAGAGTTTGGCTGACAATGAGAAATTCAAGGTAAACTTCAATTTTGTCCGAAATTGAAAAAATTAGGATTTGAAGAAAATAGAAATTTGGCCCATTTTCAATTAAAATGCACGTCTTAACCCCTTGCAGTTTGTTTTTTTTTTAATCCAAAAATGACAAAATTCAGATTTCGGGAATATTAAACTGTTGGATTATATTTAATTGAATGCAACGCTAAATCCTTCCAACATGAAAGTATGCAGCTCTTTAAAAGGTTCACAACTATGGTGTTTTTGATGGTTTAATTCAACATCAAATGTAAATTATGATTTAAATCCAGCTGTACTTCGCCGCCAGAATTTCAATTTAACTCCATTTCCACGAGTTCAAATGGTTAACAAACTGCTTTACTGATCACTTTACTATCAGACCATTGTTACATCTTATAAATTCTGTTCCATATACAGTTGCATTATTTCATCTTCATTGAATTTTTTTGCATTATTCACTAGGCACAAAATAGTATGGAAGTGTCATTTACAGATTTTTTACAATATTTACATGGCCAAAAATAGCGCATCATCCGAAGTTTGTACATTGGTTTAATTTGAGTAAAGTGCCAAGGGTATTTTAACTATTAATAGGCAGGAGGGACTGGGTACGACTCCCACCTGCTTCACAAATCACCTGTGAAATCCTAACCAGTCTGATAATTCCAGCAATGAGGTAACTTAGCATCGAAGAACACAAGTTAAAAATCATCCTGGATATGAATAACAGTACAGAGTTATAGCAACTTGGGAAAAGTTTAAAATCTCTCCCTTCAGGGATCTAAAATGATTGGATAAATTGAACGAATGAATGACCACTACAGACAGGCTCAATAGGTTGAAATAAACTGGCTCCCAAGTGACTATCGACACCCAAGTGATCCATCGGTATTAGTAATCGATAACACATGGCAGCTCTTCAAACTGATCGAAAGTACATTTCACAAACCTGGCTCCCAACAGACTTTATCTGATTTTTTGAGAAAAATTATTTTTCAAACTGACCCAACAGACGGATACAATTTACAATAAAGTTTTAAAATTCCATTCAAAAGTATACTTGTTACTGTGAAACAATCAGGTGATCGACCTTGAAATTCATTTCTAAAAAACAAACTATTTTATATTGGTACTACAAAAATATGGATAGCATTAGCAGGTAGGTTTATGTACAATTTGTTTAAAATGTTTCTAGAAGCGCTGGTACCCTGCATAGTGTAAAAACATGAAATCAGCACACAGTGAAACAACTAGCAGCTCTTCATATAACACTTGACTGGCTACCCAGTTATGTATGTTAAGCTAAAAAATAATGATCCCACTGTTAAGTCATCTACATTTTACTTCTTCCTGAAGTGACAGAAACCACGGAGAAGTCGTACTTCCAGTACAAATCCACTTAGTAATCTATTGTTGGTAGTGCTGGTTGCTGATAGCAGCATCCATTGCAAATAAAGCAGGGAACCATGGATGATGTCTGGTACTGGACAACAGTTGTAAGTGCTTTAACACTAACCCCCTAGGGTGTATGTAAAATCGTACTGAAATTGGAGGATTTGGGAGTGTTAGGGTTAAGATATATTTTGAAGTGGATAGGATTTGTTTTTTCTTCTTATTTTTACTAAATTAAAACTATTCCTTATATTGGAATTTCAGCAACCGTCAGGCTTTATTTTCAGCAATTTTCCTGGAATGTTGGTTCTAAGTTGTTTTTAATGACCTAAATATGATTGAACAGCAAGAAGCATGGAATTTTTAAATAGAATCTAATCAGGAATGAACTTCCAAGACGTTCTTCATCCTTCATCTCTGGGTATTCCATCTCATTTTTCCCTTCACCAGCAAGTGGATTGTAGGACCACAGGTCTCTCTTGAGCAGGCCTATCCCAGAACGTTCCTTTCAAGTGCGCCCTTTCTCCTCTTAACCAAACATTAATTTTACTGTCTTCTCTCCACAGTAAGGCTTCAGTTTAACATCCGCTTTTCTTGATTCCTGATTTCTACGATTTCTAAGGGCTGAAATAAATAACAATGATGAAGCATGGGGGCGGCTGCGGCATGCTCCAGATTTCTTGTGATGACCTTTCACAAAGGTCAGTCCTCATCGTCTTGGAATGGGTCTTTGAGGTGGTTGGCATCCCCGTCGTGGTAGAGCGATTCCGTCTCATCTTTGTCGTTGATAAGTTTCTGCATCTCCTCCCGCTGTTTCCGCCTGAAGAAACCGCACTGTTTGGAGACAGGAAGAAAGCGTCAACTTCATCCGTTGATTGCTGTACAACTTTCACCCATCTCCCAAATCAAACCAGAGGCTTCAAGGTGGAAAGACCTGTGCCCTTGTTGGTTTATGCCAACATGGCATCACACAATCACTGGAACTTTTGCAAACAATGTCAGCACCCTGCATACATCCCAGGCTACCTTGCCCCACTAGACACCATTTTTCAATTCAGATTTTTTGGCCAGTCACACATTCAAATCTGATCAAGTGTTTTTTCCTAAGAGTATGTCTAAAAAGTCGGGCACGCTCATGTTTTATTGGACCTTTCCCACGGAACACTAGCATTCCATTGAACATTCAGGCCCCAGCGGGAACGGTCCACCACTTGATGGACCATTCTGAGCTAACGTTCCGATGGCAATGCCGTATTCCCGGTGGAATGGCCACCTGCTCTGCAATAAGAACAGGCCCTTTCAGATGGAACATGACGACCATTCCAAATTAAGAGATACTCCTAAGCAAATGCTTAACATCCTCTCAGTTTTCCTTTCTGATACCCAAAATTCCTTTTAAACATATCTAGGCTTTGTTTCACTCCTCGCAGCTTGGACTTCAAATCGACACTTGTCCCCCATAACAGTAGAGATGGCACAGAGTATTGTACTGAATAATGGTTAGGGCTAGCTGCTCTCCGTTCCCCACAACCTTTCTCCATCTTACCTTCCACAGCACCAAGATTACTCCCAGCAACAAAACGATTCCAGCCACTATGCTTACTGCTAAAATCCAGTTGGGAACTTTCGTGGTTACCGACGACTCAGTGTACGCTACGGTTTGAACCTGCAAGACAGCACAAAAACCCAACTAGTATAAAGAATTTCAAAAAGTCAACTTTCATATTCCCCAACCCCAAGAAGCAGGTGACCCCCCCGACTACTTCCTCTAAATGTATCACCTTCAAATTTACAATTTAACCTTAAAGTCTCCGCAGATTAAAGACAAAGAGTGCTGTGTTTTTTTTCCCCAAGAGATGCTATTTGAGAACTCCACGGTCATCTTACCACAATACTGTCTGGCCGGCCATTCACTGGCTGTACATGGACATTATTATGATGTTCTACTTTGACCGTTGCTACACTACGAAGCTTGATTGTGTCATATCCAGACTGTAAGGCAAAAAGTACAAAAGTCGTTCTCAAACATTGTCCACAAAACCAAGACTTGGGAGGAGAGTTACACAATCCAGCTGAAGCAACAGAAAATGATTAGAATCTGTATTACAGAATAATTTCTTTTCACTCAAAGAGCTCTAACCACACACCTCAATCAGTGTCTTCTCATAGAAGCGTGCCTGGATTTTAATCACAGCGCCCTCGCCCATCCGCAGGTTGTCAGTCACACAGAAAATGGTGGCACACTGCGCCGTCTGACAATTGACAATCCACTGTCGGAAAACCAAAAATGTCATTTCAAAAAAAATTTAATGTGAAACAGACCACAACAAGAAATTTCAGCTGATCCAAGCAAAAGTTGTAACCCCGCCATATTGAACAAGATGGCTTGTCCACTTTTTTTTTTAATCCGGGAATTAATCCTTCTAAGCCTAGTTCTGAAACCACAAAGAAGTCTGAACTTGAAATTTGACCAGAAAAAACAAACTGGAAACCTAACCAACCTCTCCCGAGCTAAAAAATGACAGGGGGCTCCCCTTGGAGGTGACCTCACTGGATCGGTACGTCTCCAGCTGCTGATGCTGCTGTTGTAATATGTGCTGGTATTCACATCTCCCTGTGCCCTCTAACTGCAAATACAAAAATAAAAGTCAATGAAGTTATCGACCATCACCCTGAAATGTATCATTGCTATGACAACCTGATTCATTACTTGTTCATTTCTGAAAGTTTGTCCAATCACACTTGAACCTTGTAGTGACCGGTTCTAGAGCAAAGCTAAACGTGGCAGGAAAAACGTCATTTCGAGCAATTGTAAGAGAGGTTCTAACATAGAGTGGTGCCCTAAGTCAACCCAAGTCTTCTCCCTCACCTCAATGTGAGTGAAGTACAGCAACCAGTCGCCCTCTTTCGTCTTCCAAGGAAGGGTGATGTTGACTGTTGTCAGGTAAGGGATTGTGCTGGGGCCCAAGTTCCGTGCCTGCAGGAAATCAAGTCATTGGTCTCTTTCAAACAGCAGAAATTTCATATATATATGTTGTCAAATTCAAGAGGCATTCAAACAGAAATGTAATCCATACGTCCTTCAGCAAAACATCGACAGAGATCGTGTAGCACATGTAGACACCTGTACCAAAGGGGTAATCATAATTGAGTGTGAAGCATGGCAGTCACAAAAAGAGGGCGCTATTTAAAGTGGGTTATTAAATTTGGAGTGAACACAAAAGATTTCACCCAAACTGAATAGCCCCCTCTTTTGTGTCTGCCATACCTCAAATAGACTACTGCATTTACACTAGTTCTTGGCACCAAGTTAGGCCGTGCATGGGAACTGTTTTATTGGCATCATGATCAGGGATAGCAATGAAGCTTGACTGCAATGCACAGAAAGGAATACAATAACATCTTTAATCTCACTCTCTTGGATTTCCAAAAGGTACTAAAGCCAACTACCACTCACATCATAAATGTGTTTGAACTTGGGGCCAATGCTGGCTTCGTCGGTTCCGTTTTGAATCAACCCTGTTGAGTTTGCCACTAGGTTGACAGCGATCCCATCCACTGCTCCAGTCCTCTCAGCACTGATTGGATTTTTCCTCTTTTTCTCACCAAATATGACTTCAGCCGGATGGGTCACCCTGATGGCCAAAAACATAAGGACACTACTGATACAGGATTTTCAGTCACATGACTTTTGACGGTCTAGCATTCAATTTACGCAGATGTGCGCAGAAACACGCGCGCCTTTGAAGTCTTTCAATATTCTGGAGTACATGAAATTGCCAACATTGGCACATGCCTCCACAAACATGGTACACTTCCTGAAATGCCCCTTCCCACTGTGTTACATAATGTGGAAAACCTCTATCCAATGAAATGCAAGGAACGAGGGCTCAGGACCAACCAATTCCAGAAAACAAAATGTTTGGAAGATATTTCGGTTTACCAATATTTAGTAAGTGAACTTTTCAAGAACGAGCTGCTACATTTAAAAAATTATTTCTCATACTTGAAAAATTTCAACTTGAACACAAAATGCATTTCCATCATCCAATTTTCCAAATCCCCCTTTAACATCAGCCCCAAAATTTCACATGTACTGCCACATGATTGCAAAGTTATGTCGATGAAGATTCACTGGGTTTCGTTAAAAGGTCAGCCAAGGTCAACCAAGGTCAGCCAAGGTCAACCAAGGTCAGCCAAGGTCAACCAAGGTCGATGACTGATATCTTCCTCCTCCAGCCCTATTGTTTCTAATCCCGCAAAAACCTCAAGGATGTGAAGGCTGGACCAAACTAGAAATCCTTGTTATTTCTAACATTTGGCATATCCAGCGAATTACATGAACAAAAGACAGAACAATGCCTTAAAGAGGCACTCTTATTGCACCGTAATGCACATGTCACCCCTGACCTCATGTCAGGTCATTGCAACGGACCCCTACCACCGTTAATCAATCATGGACAAGACAGCACAATTACCACCTCCTGGGACTTCCTTGGTGTTGCTGGATGGCACTATTTGAAAAATGTCAAAAGGCACCTCGACTGAATCCACAATATAGCATCTTTAAGATAGACCAATTCTTTATCATCAAACTGGTTTCCACCCATTGTAATGTGTCTGACTTTCATTTGTTATTTCAGACAAATACAAAACAATCTGACAATGTCTATGATATCAATCCAACCACTGCACTTCCTTTGTTCTGACTCATAGCCTGACACAAGTTTAAGTGCCCTCCATTCCTAATTGCAACCTTCGGGCTCATTTTATCTTCCCCTTTAATCCTCTCAGATCTATGATCCAATAAATGTTGCTCGACTGTGATGGACCTGGGACTGTCCAGCCAGCCTGTTACTTGACATGCTCCTTGATGTTCTTTGAAAGTTTTAGAGAAGTTCCGAGCAAAACACCCGAGGCAGTGTTAAGGGTAATTTCAAATTTCATTCAGAAAAACTACAATTGTGACTAAACCAGTCTTTCAAATTTCCCTTTTTACAAATGTCTTTATCATACCATCTTGCAATATTGCATTTACTATAAAAAGAAAATGTAAAAAAAGACAATTCTTTCAATGAAAACAACGGGTTCAGGCTTTAATCTTCAACCGCAGCCAGGACAGCAACGGAAGTAGATGACAAAGGAAGACGTGAAGGAAGTCAATCACTTCCTGTGTTACGCTGGAGGCCACATGGGTCATCTCACACTCCAGTGTAGTCTGGCTTCTTTTTTTTTTCAGGAGTGACGAAACCTCTATAATTAGCCCTGGAACCTTGTTCTCTACAGACTGCTACATGTAATTTGGCACCCACCAAAATTTGTACAAGTCAGGAATACTGTACATTGGGGGTTAGCATTACGGCCCTGAATTAATTTTGATTTTTATGTCCCACGAATACCAAGAGCACTACACTTGTCGGGTAACAGCAAATGTTACCGTGAATTTGGCAGTTTGCCAACGTTTGCCCTGATCACTTTCTGCCTTGCTTTTTGTTTTGGCCTACATATGAACTAACCCTCACACTCTAATCAAGTACACTCTAATCAAGTACACTCTAATCAAAGTGAGTACAAAGGGAAATAAACTGCAACAGAGCCTTTGTGCACATTCTGTTGTAAACTGGCAGCCACCACTGTATAATGCTTCAGCACAGCACTTCACTACGAAGAAATGCTATCATAATGTCAAAAAAATCCAGAACTCGGTGCCTGGGACTTTGAACAGCACCTCCAACCATCCAGTCAATTAAGAACAAAAAACACCACCTACCCAGATATGGTGACGTCTCCCTCGACTTTGACAGGCAGGCTCATCTCCTTCTTGTTATCATGCAGTGTGCTGTTGGCCTCCGTACTTGTCGTTCGGGCCTCTACCGTGATCTGGACATTGGTGGTCTCATACGTCAAAGACGGAATAAAGAGCTTCACTCTGAATGAACTCTGTGAAAAACAAACATCAGAGATTGTTCTACAATTTGAACCGGGAGCTACTTCAGTACTGCACACCATAAACATCCCTCCACTTACAACATACTTCATTAGTTTTTAGAGACAGCTTTAGAGTGATGATTTAAAAACCAAACTTCATCTTTCACCTTGGAAAAAGCTTTCATAGGGTTGTCCACATCACACACCACCATGGCTGTCATGTTTTCTCCTTTTTCTGGCCCGCAGAGCACTATCGTTTCCTTCCTCTAAAATTGGAGGGAAAAAAAGTTCAGTAAGGTAACTCAAAAGGACAACTTTAACTTGATCTCACAAAACAATTAAAATACAGACACTGAATGAAGGTGAAAGTAAGTAGTCTAATGTTTAGTAACGTAGTCTAGCGGACTTTGTTTCTGGGAAGCTTTGTTCATGGAGGAGAAATACGTGTACTGACTCACCCTGTTACTTTCCACACGGACGAAAGTGATGTCTTCGGGATGTGTGATGATGACCTGCGCCAAATGGGCTTCTTCACCGTGATTGGTCAGCGTAATATCAACAAACAGGTTCTCCTCATTGCCGTAGGATATGTAAGACGTACCCCTACAAAACAGTCAACAAATAGTTCACAAATTTATTGACAAAAATTAAAGAGTCTTTTTACTGTACAGGAATTCATTCATTAGTGGTATGTGTTTCTGGGGGAATCCATCTGTGCTTGGCTGGTCTTAAACGTGCGCTTAAGACTGGCTCCGGAGAATGGATGCGAATGCCTGAGCCAAAGCCAAGGGCATTATCAGCATTCAGTCTCCTGAGCTGCTCTGATAAATACCTTTTTTAGTCAGAGTCAAAAGATGTCAATATATGATGGTTTTTCAGCAATTTTGTTCACGAATTTTACGTTCAGTTTCCAGCTATTTTATGGTTTATTCTTTGTGCAAATTGTCCAATCGGTGCGCGTGTGGCGAGCCGTGTGCTTACAGACTCTTGACCAATCAGATCCCATTTTTTTGAATTGTCTTGTATCCAGGTGCCACCTCGTGATTTATGCAGCAGGCATTATCGCTTCTCAGCGGGCATCATCAAATGTTATTACACGGTCAAGTTGCACGTTGCTGAACAGGGAGACTGTCTTCCGAATTTATGAATAAAGGTTGCAGGTACGTCATACCTTGCGGGATGTAACGCTGCTTGCAAGCGAAGGTCCGTCTCACAGATAGAGTCCTCACCACAGTTGAAAATGAAACCAACCTGAAAGCGAACAAAAATAAAATGGTAATACGAACAAGGGCTTTGAAATCCCAACAGGAGGAGCATCTCCAATAACATTCTGGTTTCTGTATCCTGGTGAAGAGACCGGGTATTCTGAGTCTTAATGGCTTTCAGCAGAAAGCAGATGACTTGTTGAGTTTTGGAAAGTAACAAATATTCTTGGGAAAACTCTAGAATCAGGTAGGAACTGAAAACATTACACACCAGGCAGGATTCAAACTTTGATCATCACGGCAGGAAACAAATTTCCAAAACTAGCAGAGAATAACTGTACTCTGTACTCTGACTTGATATCTGCCAGCGATACAGGGATAACGTGTGGATTTAGATCTTCACGTATCTCACCTGTTCTACAATCTTACTGGGCGAATACATATCAAGAATGGGGCATAATCCACTACACTGAGTTATCGGCGGACCATCTGAGTTTTCTGCTGTCCTGATGTCAAAGGTCAAACGGAAAGGCAGAGAGCTGAGGTAGTCTTTCATGTTGACCTAGAAAACAGGGGAGAAAATGTTGAAAATGATTTTATGTTTTAATATAAAAACACAAGCAGCTAAGTTTGGCTTAGCAAGAAAATGTTGCGGACAAGTGAGCGAAGCTGTTTGTTTGGTTGCTGACTGGTCCTCCGACGACTTTTGTTGCTAAGTGGAATTTGTTGCTTGCCTCAGCACTCTCCAATTATCTCTGGCTACTGGCAAAATTCACAGGCAAAAGCATCCGCGCATCGGGACACCAGCTACGGGTCAGTATGATACAAATGGCATCTTGGCTGGCTAACAAGTGCTTAATGCTTGGTGAGGTTTAGAGTTGACAGTAACAGTTTTGTGAGGAAACAACAAACGAAGTTGTTATTGTATCACTGTAGGCCCAGAATCTTGGCTTGAAGAAATTCGACCTTTATAAAGTCTGAAGCTTTGTACAGTGGAGAACAGTCTAAGGAGAGGGCATGTGGAGATACCATGTGGATAGCGGATGACCACAGCACACTGCTCGAAACATTGAGTACCCACTCACTGGTTCCTATCAGAACCATACCTCTTCTAAAAGAGATTCATCCACATGGTGTCAACGCAAGCCCTCTCCTTAAATGTGACCTTGTTTGATATCCACAGTACATGAGCAAACATGCCAACGTCATCTTCTTGATGTTAACAATGTCTGAGAACTCACATCAATATGAGCCTCCCTGGGCAAACACGTGGGCAGATTCGGTCGCAGCTCTAAGTTGTGGGAGATGGTGCTCCCACGACGGATGCCGTTCTCAACAAAAGTGACCCGGCCCGGAAGACCAGTCTGTCTCTTGAGTCCATCAGCCTCCAGAGTGAAATTTATGGCTGAGGAGGTGGAAAACCAGACATGTAAACACGCACCAATTAAGTAATACACTGAAATCTGAAATCATGAATATTCTCTATTAAGGTGTGACTCCAATTGTTTGACTTACCGACATTTTTCGGTAAACCTACGCCACTATACATGAAGCAAGGTTGAACCCAAACACAGGGTACCGGTCGGCCCTGAAACAGACACGCAGTGCGGTTGAGATCAATGGGTGTGCCTTGCACGACAACGGACGCCTCCATCTTAATGACCGGTCTGCTTCTGTGCATTTTATCAAACGAAAATAAAATGAGAATTTCAAGAAAACCGGACTCAGCTAAGCTGTCACTAGATAGCAAAAGTGCCAGGGTTTGACCCAACGTTTCGGAAGGGTACAAAAAGAGCCAAACTATTCGGCTCTTCGGCACCGTGTGGTCCTGGTCCACATGAAGTGAAACAAGAAAAGTGGAGCGTCTTACAATTTCAATGAGGTACAAGGGTCCAAGTAGGTAGGTTGCTGATTGGATTTGTTGTTTGGATCAGCAGTTCCAGAAAAATATAGCTTGTCAATGTTCTTGCTTATCACAAATTTGCTGGAAACCAGTTAATGTCAACAATGCATTGCATCCGAACTTGACTGGCAACCAGATTGTGTGCTGAGCGTATACTTCTCTGCTAAGCAACCTTCGCCGCTTACCACAAATCGGACTCGGTTGGAAGATCAAGCGTACATTGCTGGACTTGATACAATAATCACGGACACACTTACAGGTACAGCACAGCCTTGTTGCTCTGATGGGCTCCAATTACCAGATCCGGGTAGCTGTTGCCATCCATGTCTACCCCGCCCGATATCGCACTGCCAAACGATTTGAGGTGTGGGATGAAGGAATGCCCAGACAGCCTCTGTAAGGTCAGGTCAGGTGTCAAAAAGAAAAGTACTTAGATTAATGCTTCTGAAGGACACAGAGGAAACACGGAATTTTTTAAAGTGTAACCAAAATAATGCACAAAATTCTACTACATTGTAACTCTAACAATCTAATGGATTCTCTGTGCATTTACAATGTAAATCACACGCAAAACAACAACAATCTATGAAAGAATGTTGGCATTTCTGTCAAAGAAGCTGCACTATTTACATGTAGCTATTTCTGGAAAGGGGTCAGTTTATAAAACTAGGTCACATCTGCACACACCTGAGCATAGGTGGTCTTGAGCCCCATCTCCCCACCATGATAGATGTACACTGCACCGCTGGTGTCATCTTCAAAGGGTGCACCGACTACAACATCTGTAACACATAATGAGGATTCTGACTTAGGACACCAGATTTGAAGTCTATGGGCTACGGCAGGGAAATTGCCACCCTCAAGAAGGAAAATAAAAAAAAAAAGAAACACAGAAATCTCAATATCATTTGTTTGGCAGTACTCTACATGATATCATTACGCCAAATCAATAGGCATATGCACCCTAACTCTAGGAGAACGAATACTATTTATATTGTATATCCAAGTGCCCTCTCCCAAACCCAAGGGCCAATGGCTGGAAACCCAATTTCTTAACCCCTCCACCACAACAACATGAAAAAAAAAATCAACCTGTGAAAACCTTCCACCCAACTTCAACTCATGACAAACTTTGTCTAGGTAGTCAGTGCAACAATCCAGACAACTGCCGAGCCAATTAAAACCTGACATGATCTCACCGTTGAAGCCATCTCTGTTTAGATCGCCGCAGTCAGCAATGGCAGACCCAAACCTGGCGTTCGCAGCATTGGAGCCTGACAGTAGGTCGGGCAACTTTCGCATGATGGCCTGCAACGATTCAAAGATTTTTTTTATTTTTAGTTCTTCCATTGGTCCAATTCAATATTTCTTGTTCAATCCTTTTTTCACAGAAAAAAATCAAGAAAAATTTGGGGAAGACTGAATTTTTCAATCTAATCTTGCTGTGATTTTAAATAATTCAAAGAAAAGTTAAGTGATTTTTTGAGGAAAAACCCTGCCTGAATTTGTGGCTTTCACACTAGGAAATTATAATCTTTCATAACTTTTGGCTCATGGGCAATATTTGGATTTTCCAGGTATTTTCCCTGCTTTCCAAAATTTAAAATGCATTGAATTTCAATTTTCCTAAAAATATCACAGTTGAATGTATACACCATCACAGGAAATGTAACCACTGTTATTTTTTTTGTCGAAATTGGCAAGGCGTCAACAAAAAACTTTAGATAATGTAGAGCCCCATACTTACATTACCATCGTTAATGTATATGTACACTCTGCCTTCATCCTGCGTTACAGAGTAGAGCGGTGCTCCTACAAGAAGGTCAGTCAAACCATCATTGTTTAGATCCATCCCTCTCACAGCTGCACCAAAATAGGTACCCATCTGAAACGACAGACGGGATCGACTAATCAAAGCATGGTGGGGAATGGACATCGGAAAGAGAAATTGATTGAAGCAGGATTCGAACCTAGAACCTGTGTAATACCAGAGCGATGTTCAACCAAGGGAGATAACCAGCTCGTGGATAAAAACAGGGACAAATCAGGATGACAAGCAACATGGGGCTAGGAGGCTCCGTCGGTGGAGCACCGGTACAGGGTCCAAGAGATCACAGGTTCAGATCCCACTCCAGGCAAAATGATGGGATCCAAGTCTCACAGAGTAATTTTCAAATTTACAAGGCAGTGACAACATATTGCTAGCAGGCCACATGATTCCTATCTCGGCATCTCAGTCGAGCATGTGCATAAATCACCAGCCTCTGATCGGTTAACGAAAAGTGCTTGAAAGTCTGGATACCGCCAAGGCTGGTGCTGGGAAATCAATGGCACATTGTGTGCCAACGGTAAAGTACATTAGAGGAACATAGACCTCAAAATTAGGAACCCAGATACACGAAAAGAGGCTTTCACTAAAGTGATTGAGTCAAGACTTATAAACTACTTCAGGAAAGGCCATTAATTTCAAGAGCTTATTCTTCATGTTATTTTGACAGAAACATGTCCATATTCTACGGAGACACGTGATGGAAGAAATGTTCTGCACCAGCTGCAATGCTAATCAGTAAAGATTCAAAGCTGTGATCCAGATGCAAACTGGCTCCAACTAGTGTGCTTAAAAACCGAGATCTGAGAACTCTATTAGGAAAAGAAATTTAATTTTAACAAAACCATTCATGAATGCATCAAAAGAATTGTGGAAGGTGCTTTACTGAATTGCAAACTGAGGTGGTTTGAAGGTGGGCAGCTGGACAATGACAGTGCATGTCAAATTTGTCTATCAAAATCCTGAATTGTTGAAATATCCTATGCTCTGCCAATAACAGGATTCCTGCACCTAAAGGACAATTCCATGACTTTTAAATGACCAAATTAAGAAAATACTGGTACATGACGCAATAATGCAGTTTCTTGGACTATTCAGACTTTCAAATTAGAAAATAAAATCACACATTTTGTGCACTTTTTCTGATGATAGAAATCACACAGTGTTTGAGAAGTTCCATGACTTTAGTCTTTTTGACAAAGTTCAACGTCTTTTCCAGGCCTGGAAAACGAACACAATTTCCATAACTTTTTCATGATTTTTCCGGGCCGTGGGAACCCTTCAACAAGCAAATGTGGTGTCATCAGTAGTATTTATAAAAAAGTTCTTTATCTCAAAGCAGCCCATCAAAAATAACCCATGCATGATCTTGATTTACATAAGTTTTCCGTTACATCATTCATGAACTTTTCTTTCCGACAACATGATTCCAGGATGTCACCTCTCTCCATGACCACAAGAACCTTGACACTACATCTTGCAGGGCAGTTCTTTTGTTCCACAGGGAAAACTCCAAAAGCACTGGCCTGCAAGATGGCAGTAATGCAAACCCTCTATTGGGGCTTTGGAATGTGTATCCTTTTTGTTTCACACTGCTGACAGCCTGTCTGTGATTCATGCTACTTTACTTGGCAACTCTGGCCAGTATGACACTGAAGCTATCATGGGTAGGGCAGCTGACTGTGTGGTTCGTTTTAACTCAAAACCAGTTTCAGCCACTCCTAAGTGACTCTGCCAGATGAGACAGTAACTCAGGCAGGAAGATTGGCCACATGATACATTCTAGCAACAGCTATCACAGCTGCAGGTACATGCAATTTTGCATCAAAGCTCCAACTATGTGCATGTCTAATCAGAGATTTACCATTTCGCCGACCACCTGCGACAGAAGTGTAAAGTCCTGTAGATCATAGATATACACCTTGCCCTTCTGATAAGCTCTGGGAGCCCCCGCGGCACCTTGGGTTGTTGACTTCGACACAAAGTTACCCGACGTTACAGCATAACCTAGACCAAAGAAAAAGAATAATATCCAACAAATTTGTACAAAAGTTTTATTAAGGCCATCCCTTCTGGAAATTGACGGGCATCATTACTTTTGTGCGACTGTTGCTTACGAAAGAAAGAAAAGATCTATTTATACAAGAGTAAAACTTGATATTAACCAGGAGTGTCAACAATTGTGGGCAAATCAAGACAAAAATAGAGGTCCGTGCTCGAAGAACTGTAAGCTGAGATCGGATGGAATGTTGCATCCTTTTAAGTGAACAATAATCAGATTGCATTTTTTCTATCCTGAACACTGGTCTTCAGTTTGTTTCTTATCGCCAAGCACAGATTTCCAAGTACCTAAGAGGAGTTGACTATCTGGCTGCCTCCTATATCCTGCCTGTGCTTATACAGTCACTCCCCCCCCCCAACCAGGGCTGGGTGGAATCGTGAGAATGTTTCCTGTCTTTGCGATTAGCAACACGTCGCTTAAATGTACATGTAGAAGGTATTTGACCTTATCAGGATAAGCAGACAAAAACCGGGTTTACTGCACTTCTCTTGGGCTGAGCTGGTAAAAAATTTGGCAACAAAACAACTTCTGTGACTCTCTTCAGAAACTGTAAGGCACACATATACGCCAAAAAACAGCAGCAAATAGCACATGTACCCAGACCATCGCATTTAAAAGTCACTCGTGAGAAAGGTTCGAGTAAACATTCAAGTCTAAAGCTGCAATACGAATTTTCACCCAAAATATGAAATTTGGGGAAGTTTTTAAGAGAAAATGGAAACGAAAGCTCAATCAGACACATTTGGGGGAAAAGGTACTATTTGCAATTTTTAGAAAGCATAGATTCCTAACCCCCTAGGGTGTATGTAAAATCATAGTGAAATTGGAGGATTCGAGACTGTTAGGGTTAACAAACAAGAGCTCGCATACACCATTGTACTCCTTAAGTCCATGTGGCATACACGTACATATTCTTTCATCATACCCATCTACAACTCTCAACCTCTTTCCCTATCTTACATCATACCTATGTAACTTTCATCCTCCTCCCCAGTCGGGTACCAAGTAGTCACATCAGACATCCTCATAGCGTTTGTGTTATCAATAGACACAACACTTCCTACAAAACAAAGATTTTAAGAGAAAATGAGATCCTACTCAAATGACAGGCAATGCAAGGGAGATTGTTGTGTCATTTATTGGTTTGTGGAAAATGCCAAGTTTGGTGTTACAGTCAGAAGTGCATGACAAATACTTGTAGATGAAAGAGGAGTCATTGTTTTATTTCAGCCAGCCACACAACCTCAAGGTTTTCTGGTGATCTTTTCTTTTTTCTCTTTCTTTGTTTTTTTGGCAAATCATGGCTGGTGTGTCACTCTCTGAAACTTCGCCAACAAAGGAAGCATGCCTTCTTCTGACCTCACCTTAAGCCAAATGCCAAACCCTCAAGGTGTGCCTAATATAAAAGGGAACTCCTGAATCACGTTGCACTCAATTTTATCTCTGAGGTAATTGGTCCCCTCCCCCACCCCCAAAACCAAAATTAGCTGTCAAGCTCCAAGCTCTTCAACAGCAATAACCAAACCCTACATGCCTGAAGTTGGACCAAGAGATGGTGCAATTTCTTAGCCGGGTCATTCCAGAAATTATATCTGACCTTTATTATTTGATATGGAAATATCACCGGAATTGACTTCAAACTATTATTATTTGTCTGGCAGGTAATTTGCATTAATTTATCATCTTGGAAATTAGAAAATGTGTTCTGAACTCACAAAATCACATGTAAGATGTGACAGGGATATGAAAAAACATGGACCCCTAATTTCTGGAATTACCCATCAACAGAGGCTCCTTTAGTCGGAACTCAATTGCGCTGGTTCACGAACGACTATTAAATGCACATCTTACGGTCACATCACTATCAACAAAGTGAACACTGCCAACAAGCATGCCTCTACTCAAACCCATGAGGGGGTGCTTATGCTCAAGGCAGATACGGTGATGGATACAAGCTTGAGGTCACTTTGCGTATTTCGCAGTGCAGAATAACGTGGGTGCGCACTTTCAATGTAAGTGGGCCAAAATGTGCTGTTGGCATGAATTCTTCCTCTGAGTCAAAACTCAAACCTACCTCGCCAAGCGAGGGATCCCACTGCTCCTACCATCAGGGTTTCTCCGTCTGCGGTGTACTCGGCGCTGAAACCAGCCTGGCACCATCCGTGCCAAGCGATGCCTCTGCCGTTGGCATCGGACTTAATTTGGATTTCTGCCAAAGACAAGAAAATGCACCACACAGGAAACATCAGTCAGAAACTGCATCGTGAAGGTGAGGGATGCAGTTTCCAGCAAAAAATGTTTAAGGAAACAAGAAAGAGGAAGCGGTATTAAACAAGGGAACGGAGAGATGAAAGCGCGTTCTGAAAACAAACGATTGAAAAATGGAAGCAAGATCTTTAATCAAATGAAACTCGCTCAAAAAAAAGAATGGATGAGCACACAGCTGTTACATAATATGCACAAGGTCTTTCTACCGCGCCAAGGTACGTAAGGATTTAGAATAGAAGTGAAAGAATATTTTAAAGTGAAATTGTAGAAATGATGACCACGAGGAGGGAGAAGGATCCCCTTCCAGAGTTACCAAAGACAACAGCTTCAAGCAGCACAGAACAATTTCAGCGGCACAGAGTACAAAATTTATCAAGGCCACCCTCAATCAAACCACAGCCTGTAGCTCAGACCAACTGATCCGCCATTTTTCCCTATTAAGCCCATCTTTCCTTTTTAAACCCTGACGCCACTGAGGTTGGGGAATGAATCTCTATTTCCCCACAGGAGTAGCAAAACCTCAACCAAGGATGCTGTCCCATCCCTTCCATCCCCTGAATGCCACCAACATGAATCAGGAGTGAGAAATAAATGACATGTGACACACAGCGAGACAAGGAAAAGACCGTCCCCAGTTGAATGTGTTTCCGTAATTCAGAGTAAAACCAGGCAACATCACAATTACTCACCACTGAAATGACCAGCACTCCTAAATAGATTGTGAAAAGTTACTAAATGACAACATTGGGGATCAGTCCTGGATTCAAACACTCGCCACATTTGTAAAAGTCCAGTTGATCAAACAGTAAGTTTAGTTATCAAGAAAGGGTCTTATTATCTGATATCAAGTTCCAGACAATCCTACATGTATGTGGTTTTAAATAACAAAATTCTTTTGCCTTTATTCAAATTGCGTTATCTATTTGCCATTTCATTAATTACAGACGACAAGTCATGCATTTTTGATGCATCCATACACACACAAAAATTACTTGCTGTTTTTCTTTTGTGAATTGCTTGTTTGGAGCATAGTTTTGTTGCATAGTTTTTGTTTTACTTTTTAGCTTAGTTCTTGATAAATGTTATTACTTTCTTTCCCGGACCGAATGAAGTTGACTGACTTTTTAGCAGGCCCCCACGAGGCATTCAATACCCTCAGGGGTTGAAAATTATGCTGTAATTGTGTTGACATGCACATGAAGCATGTCAATCATTTCAACCCGATGTAAACATTACCTGACATATTTACTTGAAGCAAAATATGATTGCTGAAATCCCATATCAATACCAAAGTCACAATACTAGTGCACATGTGTTTGGCATTACTGAAGAAAGGAGGTGTTTTACAGACTGGTAGCAATGATGAAGGGCAGGACAGGGTTCAAGTTTCGGGAATTGGACGGTCAGGTCGTAACAGCGCTATGCACAAGGCTTGTATGAAAACTTTTTTTCGATACCTGGAAAGTTTCAAACTTGGTTCATCGTTGGCAAGAAGTGTGCTAGTCAGGGCCTTATGATGCACTCCTCAAGCTTTTCATGTCATCTGTCTGCCACATCTTCAAAACTTGTGAATTACAACCCATCTAGAAATGCTTCTTTTTCTTTCACAAAACCACGTTATTGACGGCAGCTTGACAAGTGTAGTACCACAGCTCAACCCATTAGGAGAAGATTTGAGAGATCACCGTGCCACTGTTGTCAGATGTGATGGAGCTCTTCTGGAGTTGTTCTTCAAAGTCTTACTAGGTCAAGCTGCACAGCAAGTTGACAGCAACTGGGCATTCACACCGGTTGCTATCACGATTTCTTTCTCCCAGTTCATGACCCCCAGCCCCCAAGTGCTCTAGTGCCAATTCAGATGCAGAAGTTTTTCATTTGAAGGCAGGTTCGTCTGATGAAAATCTGTCCTTTTTCCCAAGCGGAGGAAAAATCATGCAGTTTTGTAGCCACTTGTGTACGGGGCAAGGACTTAACGGCATCGGATGGTTCATGTACAAAATATGTAGAGTCTGCAAGTCTTGGAACGGAGCTCTGTTTGTCTAGGAAGTTTGGTTGGCACATTGGCGCCCAGGATTGGAACGACACTCGCAGCTTTTCTTTCGTTTCTAACTTGGGCAAAGCATGTTATCTCAACGTTCAATGATCTTCCAAGTTCACTGCAAAAAGACAAGGGGAACAGAAGCTGACTTCAGGATCAAGGAAGCAGAAATGCTGGACAAAAAACAAAGACTTTGTTGATAAAAGCAACAATACTAGTAATTAGCATACAATAAAATACATGTATGCAGTCTTACAAGCTTGTGTGCTGCCATCGAGGATTCTGAATTTCGATTGTCTGGTTCGGCTTTCCTAGGGTTTCCTTCTGTACACCATCCTTTACAAAATCCATTTCATAAAGAGTCAAGGAAAAATTCACTCGCTCATGTACCAACTAACTCAACACTTCTTTAGCAACACACTTTATGACAGAAAGGGAAAATAAATAATAGATGCCAACAGACACAAAACTTTCCACTATAGAGCCCTCCATAGGAACCATCAAAACCTTTTTTGTGGCTAGGCACATATATCCTTCCTAAATCACAATGGATTTTTAAGGTCAATGGGCCACCAGTGTAACAAACTGGGTGCTGTGGGGGGAGGCTATTCAAAAGCCATGCCCTTGTCCAACTCACCCACAAAAGGCTTGTTTCCCTCTGGAAGGGGAAACTCAATAGAAAGAGTGTTGCTGAAAAAAAAAATGGCCATACACATCAGCCCCTTGGCATGGCGACCTTGCATTTATTCATTTAGGCAGGACCAGTCATTTCCAGAGGTGATTGTGGCTTTACTGACAAGACTTGTTTCCAGTGTGACATAATTTGATTTTGTTTGCAATATATTTTAACAAGAATCAAGGACAACTCCGGGAAAAAGCAGTGACCCGTTTCGGATCTTTCAAGACAACCTTGCCTGTCTCTGCACAGGTACTTGGGAGTAACCCTGTGTATTCACCTTTTTCCAAGTTCCCACCCCCCAAAACAGCCCTATCACAAAAACATTTCACGCCTATGAAGTCTGTCCTTATCGCAGGAAAAGACCGCAGCTGATGGCATGGGGGACAGAGAGGCGAAGGTCAGAAGAACTGTTGGGGCAAGGGGGGGAGGCTGCGTTGAAGGGAAGCCAGAGAATCATCAAATCTCAAGAGAATGTGTTCACAAAGATCACAGACTAAAAATAAAGGCCAGCAGTGGCCATGAATAGGTTTGGTGACAGGGCAACGTGGATGACAACAAGCTGGAGGGTAGGATGTGAGATTTCCGAAGTTGTTTATTTCCATTTTCACTTCCTGGCCTTCTCGGCGAGTCCTGCAGGGTCAATTAGTACTGGCACAGACAGTCTGTTCGTTGTAAAAAAAAAATCTCAATTTATCTGGATAATTTCTGTGCCCCTGACTGCTGAGCTGTTCATTTAACTTGCAACGGTGGAAATAGAACTTGGCCACAAATATCAAGACATCAATTCGGTATTTTTTACCACTTGACCATATCCATATTCAGTGTTCCTCAGTTGCTTCACTCACAAAGTGAATTAGCAACTGAACTACAACTGCAGGCGCCGATAATTGACAAGATCTCATGGAAGAAAGGGAAGGGAATTTGAAAAATCATTGAAGGAAACTGGCGAGGTTAGCTTTTAAAATGGACAGAAGTTCACTAGTTCAATCTTAAAGTCTGCAAATTATATTATTAGAGCTCTACTTTTAATTTATCCTTTTACAGAGGAACTCTACTTTCCATCATTTTTTTAATACAAGCATAAACGCAAATCTATGGATAGGGAAATCTTTGGTAATACAAAGTTGCACAACTACAGTATCTAACTTAAAAACATTACCAAGAGTGCAATGATGGATAGTGGGTCAAAACAGTGAATTGGGATCGAGTACGAGTACAAAGATGAGCGCTGACCTACTGTACTTCATTGTGTACCCAGCAAAAGGGCGGAAAAACACTCACACCCTTTTGCCGGGCACACGATGAAATACATGATTACAACAGAAAAAAAAGTTCCCAGCAAAAGGGCTTAAGAACACTCTCTATTTCGTAAAAACGGGTAAAATTTACTACAAAATCAACACAGGCTGTGCAAAAAGCAACCTTTGAACAACTTATCAAACGACTTGGGAAAATTTTTTGTAACTATTTGCAAAGAAATCTTATATTTCATTAAAATAAAACAGTTGCATACATACGTCTTTTTGCCGGGAAAGTTGTTTTTGGAGTGATCGTGCTTCCCGGCAAAAGATCATAAGCGCTTAAGTCCTTCTTCCAGGTACAAAATGATTTCATGAAAAATATGGAAGGGCTGCGTAGCACTATGATCAAAATATTGACAAGAAAATAATATAAAATCAATGCTTTGAAACATGTAATTGCCGAGCTGTCGGTAACTGAGTACCTTCTTCAGAACCAGCAGATTCAGTTCTGAATGAACGCGGAAAAATTCATGTTCATCCCACCTGGATGCAACATCCCAAGTTAAAAAATGACATGCTACTCCAGTTCCTTACGCTGTACATCAGATGACGCTTTCCGCAGGATGCAGACGCTTACGTCACCGAGGGTATGTGGCGGCACGCAAAAGTGCTGCGCAACAGTGACACCAGGTGTTTGTTGGCACACTGCGCAAGTGTTCCGCGAAGCGGTCACCAAGGTGCTGCCAGTGAGTCACACTGCAGTGTAACTGGTTTCAAACAGAGAGGAGGCTTCCTATAACAGGACACAAAACATAACCTGTGCCTGTACTCTAGCAAGATACCAACTAGCCTCTAAGATTCACCGTTCCTCCATGTATTCGCCCCCCCTCCCTCCCTCCTTCCCTTATCTCAGCAGCAAAGCTGAAACCAAACCTTGACTGAGTCTGGTTTGCCCATTCTACTCCCTAGTGACACGGGGGAAGGAAAGGTCCAGAATTGACCCCTCTGGTCATGGTGTACAGACAGTCAGGCTAGTCTGGAAACCTGGCAGGATGCTGGACTAGCTGTGAGGGCAGCCTCAGGTCACAAGCCCAGATCTGCTGCCAGACAACTCCGACAGGTGGATGGCAGTAGCACGCTGTGACAGCGTTCAGTCATGAGGGCTTTATGAACTCAATCAATGCACATTACGCTTTAGAAGTTGGCGACTTTCCAGGACTAAAAAATACCAGATGAGAATACACTGCTCCAAAATCTCTTCAATGAGCGCAAGACCAGGATGACAACTTGTAAGAACATAGTAGATGTTTCAATTACAAGTGTTTATGCAAATGAATAAACCCCATCACGTGACAGATGAGTCACATGACAGGCTGTATCGTTTCAATGCAAGGATACATTCAGAATCTGCAGAAAACAAATAATGAATACTTCATATCCATACGAAGTCCAAAATCACGACTTCCATGCGATGGTATGTTCCATCCTCATGAAATTACTCTCACCACTACGGATACATTCCTGATGCATGTGTAGGAACATGACAAATTTTGCACAAATTAGCACATTTTCCGAACTATCTTAATTTGAAGGACGTGAACTTTTTAAACTTCCAATGTTCATATCCTATAAGCAGTGGGGGAGCTAGGATTTTACTAGAGGGGGGCACAAGGGGACACCAGCATCTTATGCGGGGTACCAGTTTTCAGTGGAGTGGTTTTTGGGGGCAAGCTTTTTGTTAGCCTTGGTCAATATCCATTCATTTTGTTTTTTAGTGGGGGGTTACCTGCCCCATCCCCCCCCGCCCGCCCTTAGCTACGCCCCTGCACACAGGACAGAATCAGTTGACATCATGTCATGTTAAGAACAACACATAAACATATATCATTTTGTCTAAAAATAAAAGATGTTAGGAATGGAAAACGGAAACACCTCAAGCTGCACAGAAAAGCAGTTCCGAAATTTGCGGAAACAGAGCGCGTCAAGCCCTTTATTTGTAATGTACTTCCTGCTGAGCTAAACTTACCAACAGTATTAATATATTAAACCCACAACATACATGGACACCTCAACCTTAATAATATCTGATACATGCAGTTAGGCCCAGCACGAGAAAATTCCCATGTCAAGGAATTAACGTCACACCTCCATCCTGGGCTATTGAATTTCCAGACACTGGAACTCAAGAAAGTATTACAAAATAATCAATTTGCCATTGAGACCTCGGTTGACGAACTTGCCTAAATGCCATCAATGACAAAGTCCACAGAGAGGAAACCCAAGTACAAGGTGTTACCCTCAGCCGGCATAACCAAGGGGGTGGCACTGGGGAACATCTGCCCCTCTAAGAAATTTCTTCCTAGTTATGCCACAACAACAATGACATCATTTCCCCATGGTCCAACGGCCCTACAGTCATGACAGTGCTCAGTATGAAGAATACAATTTCATATATATACGGTACTTGTACAACACTCTGTACATATCAATGTAATATTGTATTACAGTCTCTGGGGCCAATTTCATAGAGCTGCTTAAGCACAAAATTTGCTTAAGCGCGAAAAAACCTTACTTCATAAATCAGGTAACCAGCCAAAACTCCATGTGATGTATATTGTTTTGGGATCATATTTAGCTTTTTTGGGTTAGCATGACAATTAGATAGAGTTTGAGCTGGTAACCTTTGTTTGTTAAGCAAAGTTTTTTCCTGCTTAAGCAAATTTTGTGCTTAAGCAGCTCTATGAAATTGGCCCCAGCTGATGTCAGATTCTGTCCAAACAGAATGCAAAAAGAGGCCACTTTAAAATAAAATACCCCGCACAGCACGCAGACATTTGATTGGCATCTCTGAAACCGAGCCCCCCCCCCACTTTGCATGCAAACATTTCCCCAGCACAATTTTTTTCCCTCACGGAGTAGTCACAGGCAGCCCATCCACAGTGACCTTCACCCAAACCATCTGCCTTGACACCAGAGCAGTTAATTCCAGTACAAGTGCTCCATTTCCCCTTGACAAAGAAGAAGTCAGCATTGAGTGACAGGGAGAGCGTTTTTACAACCCTCGTACTTTGCCCCTCACCACTGAAAGGATGGGGGGCCACAACCCCAAAACCTGGGAGACTTCACACTCGAGTGTGGGTACACACCTGTCACTTCACCGTTGGCCCATGTCTCACAACCTTTCTGCCTTCAGGGGATTGCAGACGAATATTCCAGGGATTATTATTCAATAATTATATACACATGGATCAACAACATCCCACACCTTTTCTACGGTGATGGGTTGGTATGTTGGAAAAATGCTTCAGTATGTAAACACAGGTGAGTTGGTGTTTTTTTCCTGAGATTAGACAGGAAAGCTATAAAGTTTGTTCACTTGGCAAGCGGTTACAAGTCAGTGTCAGATGTGGGTTGGGTTCACGATATTCCTGTCGTACTTTTTTCAAGCAATAGCAACCTCTTAGAAACAAAAGGCATCTGAGATAACAGGGTTTTGAACCATGGCAGACCTCATCAGGATTATTTTTTGGAGGGGGAGGGGTAAACCATTTGAATCTTTTCTGGGGTGGGAGAATTTCCCTCGGTGGGCAAAGCACTCATCCCCTTACAAGATAAAATTAACAGTACAGTAGGCGAATATCAATTTTGAGGTTTTTTCACGCAAATTGGTAATTTCCATACACTTTCATCTCTCTTTTTTAATTCTTCCAATTATTTCCCCTTTCTCCTTTCTTACTTTTCAATTTTCTTTTTCCCAGTGCATGAAAGCAGCCTCTTTGCAAATCTGAATGAAGTCAACACTGACGGGCTGGCATGATTTAGTAATAAAAAATCTTCACAGGCATCCATCCGGGAAACACAGATGCAGGAGAAAACTTCCGGCACCTTTGCCCAGGACACAAAGCCCCTTCGTCCCCACCGCTCCCGGTACCCCTAGGATACACATTGGCACAGGTCCAATGCCGAGGTGCCAATGCTTCGATCAACAGAGGTAACAGTCACCTCCGCTGTGTACTCGTACCTTTGAAACTACAATCAATTCAATTCACTGACACACAAAAGGAACAGGCTCGCACATTTTAAACTGGCATACAGACTTAGCGGGACACAGTTATGCATCAATTTATACATGTGCAGTGTAGGCTATCAGTTTTAAGAGCTTTGCAAGTCTTGTCCTTTCCCACTGAATTACCAAGTCACTCAATGAACAATCAAGCAAGAAATCGGAAAGTCAGTCCATGAATCGCTCCAACCTAGATGAACTAATACACCACACACAAAAAATCCCTCCACAACTGAAGAATAAGGTTTGTTTCTTGAAAGCAACAAACCAACCTACGTGAACACACTAGATCTCAACAGCGGACTGAAATGCACATGTACCTGGTCAAACCTTTCAAAGATGACTCCTGTACAAAGTTTGTACTGCTAAAAGCCTTTTGAGCTGGACTTTAAATTACATGTAAAAGTAACAAATTCATCAAAAGGCAAAACGTGAGTAATAGTGTAAGGGCCTTGGTTACATCAGAAAAAACAAAGAGAGATCTGTTTATTCTCCATCTGCAGAAAGTGCTCTATTGAACATTTTCACAACACTGTTACATATGGAAAACAGCACTAAGTTGCACGCTAGCAGAAAACAAATTGCTGAACCATTCGTACCATGTTTAATGCACAAACCAAATGGAGCAATAAAAAACTTAAGCTTGGAACCATAAGTACAGGATGTGATGAACACGCACAAAATGACCTGAATCTGTCAAAATCAGGCGGAAAAAAATCTCAAAGCTTGGGAGCAGAAGCCAAAGCTGCCATGACGAGCTCAGCTACAAGTTTTCACTCACAAGTCTCCGTATGGATTGGAAAAAAAAATTGGAGGGTGTCAAAGAATGTAGACAAGTCCCCCCCCCAAAAAAAGAACAAATGGAGACAAACTCTTGTCTTTTTATGAAGAAGATACTAACTGGAGATGGAACATGTACGTCAGCCTACAGC